TATTTAGTATAATGAGTATAAATGAAAATCATAATTAGGCATTGGTAAGGTCCTTGAACCATCAACATGTTCACGCCGAAACAGTCGAAATAATATTACTTTATTATACATACATTTCTTTATTATGCATTAGTTGTTCTGACCATATTTCATGGATCCACACTGGATATCACGCTTTACCTCACTAATTCTCGATTCTTCACACATTATTGTGATTGATTACCAGAAACTCATTAACTTTACCATTATCTTAAACATAGGGTGAATAGGTAAAACTGCTAATTAATTTTCTAAATTATTTATCCTTATATAATGTTTATTTAACAAGTACCCGTAGATCATTTGACATAGAGAAACCAACGATATTGCTTGAAGAACAAAGATACAAGATATTACTCATTAGTCCTATTATTAAAATCGATTTCTCATCAGTGCCCGCACCTGAAAATAGCCGCCGCATCGATTTTTCTAAAATGTTCGACAAGAATGTGCCAAAACAGTCCACCATTTGTCCAGAAATTTGAAATTTGTTCGCTTTCACTCGGGCAAAATGCACCGTGTGTTGCGCGCTAAAAATAAAGTGAACGGTCGACCTGACAAAACGTTTTGGAAGTGTTGCTGGCGAACCTGTGGCCCATTTGTAAACCAAAATGGCCGCCACTTTGAACCTTAAAAGTATCTCTCCGAACAGCAACACGTTTCAATTTACCTTTCTATCTTTGTTAGTCACTAAAATGGAAAATATGTACCTGTGGCACCAGTGCGTCTTGCACTGAAGAGTCACCAATGATGGAATCTGTCGAGCCGTAAAACTAGCAAAAATATATTGAAAAATAACGGTATCAAATAATCGATCAAAAATAACCTTACAGCTTTGAAGATATTTAATTAATGATTACTTTTTATTAAGTAAACTTCTTTCGCAAATGAATAATAAAGAAGCTATTTAATTATCAAAATATTTTAAAACTATTAAATGGAGGCGAGATTCACATGATCGCTGAGGGAATATTGACTAAATTCTCCTCTGCACATATGTGATGGCTTTCGTACCCGTACTGTTCATGATTTCATGTGACGTCAAGGCCAGTGTCGCGATTTAATTGGCTAATTGTTTGGCGGTTAATTTAATATCTAACAGGGAAACAAAGCACGAGGAAACAGACAGTGATTGAATAGTAACTAAAATAGAAGCTACGACATTCAATTTCAGAATTTGTTCCGCCATGTGTGCAGGGTGTATCAAAACATGGTCATAAAAATTATTTTGAAGACGACGAGGCTAGCTTGAAACTATTACGTGAACACGGAGTGCTACCCTCTGAAGAGCCTTGCACTTCAGAATGCAAAGCACTCTGAGCAACCAGCCATCACCCATCAATCCTGCTCACGCAACCTCTCTGACGCTCTCGCAAGCCATTCCGTGTTATCGCCGATCCTCAGCCTAGTCCCTTCTCTGCATAGGTATGTTTTAAGGCTTATTTTCATGAAAGTAACTATACATATGGTACTTCGCCTGCGCACGAACATGTGGAAGCGCCTGGCCCGTAGCCACGAAAGGTCTCAGACATTTCTGAGACTAAAAGCATCTTTTCCAGCGGGTCTCAGATATTTCTGAGACTAAAAGCATTTTTTCCAGCGGTTACGGGAAACGCGACACCTCTTGGGCGACAGGAATCGAGCAGACGGTTAACTTTAATAGAGTTGCCAGATGCATTCCTTCTGCTTCAGATATTTCATGCATATTCGTACTTGTATTCGCAACACCCTAATTGCCATCGGAAAAGATGCCTCATCTCCCCCCCCCCCCCCTGTTTGGAGCATGGGAAACATTCAACTACTTCGATAAGTCTCGAATTCCATGTACGTCATACAATGCTTTTAAAATTCTCATAATTGAACTGCCATGTCGTATTCATGCTAGGGCTTTTATAACTAGGATGATTTTCTACTGATATTGCCATCCACAGTTCTCCATTTCTTCAAAAATTTAATAAAAAAAGGGAGGGTATGTGGTTTAGATTAGTTGTCTCTATGGTTAAATGCATTTATTAAACTTTTCAGATAGAAATATCTACTTTTATATCCAAAGAAGGTAAACAAAGCAACGAGACATACCTTTACAGAATATTGTCCCTTTGAAAATGATAATTCCGATTGACTTGGTAATCGTTGCGTTGCAAAGTACAGTAAATAAACTATATAATATATATATATATATATATATATATATATATTATATATATATATATATACATACATAAAACATGATTAGATTTAGCGAAAAAATAATAAGGACAACAAACATTGGCAAGTGTCCAAAATATAAAATGCCATATCTCTGTGCTTTAGGCATCTTTTCCGGTGGCAATTAGGGTGTCGCGAGACGCTACGCGACACCAAAAGCTATCTCGTGATCGGAGGCGAGACAGGCCTATAAGCTCCGCCCATTTCTGTGACGTAATGGGAATGGCGGCTGTTGACGGCTTCATATTTTACTGTACTGGTTTTTTTCCAACAGGTACATAGTATTTTGGAATATGATGTCCAAGACGGCTTTTGATATCTTATGGTGGGTAGTGCGGTGTTATAGATATCCAATATAAGTGCGAATATGCATGGAATATCCGAAGTAGGAGGAATGCATCTGGCAACTTGATTAAAGTTAACCGTCTGCTTCCTGTCGCGCAAGAGGTGTCGCGTTTCCCGTAACCGCTGGAAAAGATGCCTTTTGTTTACACAAGCTTTGGGTACATCATAACTCTCGTAATTTTCTTGTGATTCAAACGCAATTTTTGTTTTCGCTAGAGCATCGGAATTCTGAGGCCGTGTCGATAGCCATTTCTTGAATTTTGGAAAAGATCGAAAAATATAGATTACGTAACAATAGATCTAACACAAGTATTTTGGGGGGATTGCTCAGGGAAAAAAAAAACTGTGGCAGTTATGATGTACCAGTCAATAAAAAAAAATGGGGGGGCCTTCCCTTCCCTATGGGAGACAAGGTTAAAATTATATATAAGATGAAGCGCAGTTATGTACTCTATATTATGCAAAAACAATCGGTGAGTTATCTCGTTGACATTTTTTTATGATGCAATGAGTAGAGAAAAGTAGGCATTTCCAGGGACTGTCCCCTTAATATACAAAAATTTCCAGTTTGCTGGTAGGGTTATCTCAAAATTGCCTTTTCTGGACATTTGCACTCCAAGCACTCCACTATAGGATTTGTCCTTACACATAATGGATCCACAACTGCTTAATCACCAATGAGTCAATTACTTGGCCTGTGTTCACACCTGTTTACCCTTTTGCTTGATTTTCAGAATGATTTTTTTTCATTAATAACATTATAATAATCAGAATATCAGTAATGATAATAATGGTAACACTATCAATATTAATAACATAAAAAAATATCCAAGAATATCATGATCAACTCTGATGACTGTTTGTGGAGCCGGAGCCATCTGTGTAAACACAAATCACAAAACAAGACTACGTTGAACATTACATATTAAAACATGAACAAATAGTACCAATCAGACAGATATTAGTGTGTCTGACCCTCTCACTGACTTAGCCTATCATTGTATCTTTCTTTGTCTGTCTCAGTCTTTTTCTGTCTCCATATAAATAAATTTGTATTTTGATAATTTTGCCACTGTTTCTTAGTTTTTCATCTTCATTTCAGATATAGTCTAGGTGTTTTTAGCATCATATATTTTTAAATATGTTCCTTACCACAATGCAGTCCCAGATGGCCGGCCCTCAACATAGGTTCCGTAGGCGGATGATGGGTGCGCAGCCTCCCCTCATGGGTCAGCCCCAAGGCATGGTTGGTGGAATGCCAGGAATGATGGGTGGAAT